ATGAAGCCTATTTAAAATTAAAAAAAAAATTTTTTTTTTTAATGCATAGGTCATTTTAAAATGCTGATAAAAATGTAAGGCATTGGGGCACCTGGGTGGCTCAGTGGGTTAAAGCCTCTGCCTTCGGCTCAGGTCATGATCCCAGGGTCCTGGGATTGAGCCCCACATTGGCTCTCTGCTCAGCAGGGAGCTTGCTTCCTCTCTGCCTGCCTCTCTGCCTGCTTGTGATCTCTGTCTGTCAAATAAATAAATAAATAAATCTTAAAAAAAATTTAAAAAATGTAACGCATTATTATACTATTATGCTATTTAGAGAAAAATGCAAGCAAGTGGCATTATTTGTTGTCCAGTTAGGATAGTGTGTAAATCTAGCCAGGTACAGGTCTTGGATCCTCAAATAATCCACCAGCTCAGAACAGCAGAACACTTCCACAGACACAGGCTATACTCATGCCTATGTACAAAAGATACACATTTGGTCACCAAGTAAAGTAACCTTTATCCCAGAAGAATTACACAGCAGGTAACATACTGAAGTTACTGAGTTACCAGTTAAGATCTAAATTAAAGCCTGGTTTTGGTTTCTAAAATGTTCTTAGAATTTTCATAACCACTCTATATTAGAATCAATAAACTTTTCCTATTTTGATAATAATTTGGAGGACATATTTTAGCATGAGGAGACTCTCTGAGAAGTAATCTAGTTACAAAGACATAGTTTCTCATATAAACATGTCTAATCATTCAAGTGAAACATGACAAGGCTGGTTAAACTAAAAGAAACAGAGAAACACAAAATTCCTGACAATTCAGATGTTCTTCAAGAGATCAATCAATGGATATACATGCAAAGTATGAAAGAAAATGTAAAATGCTGGGGCACCTGGGTGGCTCAGTGGGTTAAAGCCTCTGCCTTCAGCTCAGGTCATGATCCCAGGGTCCTGGAATCGAGCCCCGCATCGGGCTCTCTGCTCAGCAGGGAGCCTGCTTCTCCCTTTCTCTCTGCCTGCCTCTGTGCCTACTTGTGATCTCTGTCAAATAAATAAATAATATCTTAAAAAAAAAAAAAGAAAATGTAAAATGTTTTTCTTAGGAGACTCTCAACTTGTTCAACAAAGGAGGAAATTGGCAGTGTAGGAATTCAGACTAGTTTAATTTAGCAGCCTATTAATGTCAATAATATGTTACATGTCCCCTAACAGGCACAAAGAACTATATTATATATAATACTCAAAATCTCAAACCATCCTGGATACAAAAATTATTTTCAATTTTCAAGTTAAATTTCATGCCAATTCACTTCCTCTATACACTTAACCATCTTCTTTTTAGTAGATTTGATAACAAAACATTTGGAACTACATTCAGGTAATAAAAGATGATTTTCCAACAATATTCCAAAGAGAATTGCTTCAAAAAAAATAAAGATCTTTTCTCAAATATCAAACCTTAAATGGAACAGTCTATACTATCTTCCCTCACCTCTTCTGGAACATTTTTTGATGTATGATTTGTGTTCATTTAGTTCATTTCACAGCCCTAAAAATATAAATTCTAGAAGCTTCCTAGTTAGACCATTTTTAGCACTCCAGATACACAAATTGAACATACAATACCTGAGAGATGAGTAGTCACCCCTTTATATAAAGCTTACAGTCTGGATATCTCTGCATAGCATATCTTAATACCAATGTTAACAGTCACTAGCCGAAACTACAAGCACACAGTGTAAAGCAAGTTTTTAGGTTCTGAGTGGTAAAATTGCTTCGCAGCCTTTTGGCTAAAATCAGGGGTAAGGTTCTGAGTGGTAACTGTAAAGAGGAAAAAAATCAAAGGGATGGAAAACTAAATGTAAATTTAAAAATAAAAAAGTAGGCCTATACAAGAGATAACAGGAAAACAAGATTAGAAAAAGGCATTTGCAACCAAGAAATGCAAACTCATTCTTAACCTATTTACCTAAAATCCTTATCATGAATTTCTTTTCAAGTAAAATGGCACCTCAGATTTTAACAACTTGTTATCCTGGCTGTTCTGAGAGTATGACATCTCACAGCGTACTTTCATGACCCACTCCTACCTTCCTCATTCTGACTTAGGTTTTTGTTATTGTTGTTTACTGCTGTATTCCCAGTCCCTAAGAAAGCGCCCAGCACACAAAGGTCAAATAACAACCCTTTGAGGGAGGTATTATTATCATCCTGGTTTTTCAGATGAGGAAACTGAGGCTTAGCAAGGTTGAGTAACTTGCCCAGGGGTTACAAACCACTAGCCCGAAACAGACCCACGTCTGTCTGACCACAAAATCCTCATTTGTGCTTACCCTCACCGGGCAAAATAACTTCCTACTGTTTCTCATTTTGGGGTATTTACTGGTGGCAGCTTTCTCTTAGCGGAAGCTTCAACTTCTGCATCAACCTTTTCCCAGGCATCCTCAACCTCTAACCCCCACTAAGATCTTCTACAGATCCCTCCTTCCTTTGTGCTGTATTCTCTCAAGAGTTCTATTATAACATTACTTTTAGCCCTTTGCTATAGTTATTTCTCATCTCTCTCTCTTATCTGAACTCCAAACTTCCTGAGGGCAGGAATCAGGTATCTTCAAGTGCCTCCGGCATATGGTAAAGTGGAGTAAATGTCTGATGTATGAATGAACAAACCTGACAAATCCGTGACATAAAAAGGAACGCTTTAGCTCAGTTCCCTAACCACAGGCAACCAGAGACCTCCGCTTTCCTTTGCTTGGGGGTGGCAAGGCCATGCCTGAAATTCCCTGCCCACATCACAAGAGCATCACTGTGCTTCTTAAGACAGATTTTCAAGTTTTGAGACATCTAATGGAAGAAAAATAAGGTTCCAAAACTTTAAGGGCTAAACATAAGATCTGTCTTTTGGACGTGCCCTACCTGGATGGAACATCAGCTCTTGATTTTAAATAATGTTTGACTGGTTCAATTAAATCACTATTTTCAGTGATTTTGCATATTCTAAGTAATTTTATTTTTATATCTCTTTGGCTTGAAAAGTGTAATTTCATACTTCCCCACACATTTAAGGACAAAAACTGCTTGTCTTTTACCAAATAGGAAAATAAAATAGAACCTCTGTGTTAGGTAAAAAGGCACTCAATAAATATGTTATGCTGCTGTTTGTAAAGCCTCCTTCTAAAAGCACATGTGGCCTATTTTAGACTAATGAATACTGGGCAACATTTACTAGATGATTTTCATTTAATTGGTATGAATACCAGGTTCAAAACATATCTAAACAAAAACTGGGTTTTTAAAAAAATATATGGTGTAAAGAGCTGAAATGTCTGCCCCATTACTGGTGAGTACTACATAAATAGTACTACTTCAATATTCTCGTTCTAAGAATTTATAACCAAATGCTTAGCTAGACCAATTTCAAGGTGCACATTTAAGTTACAAGGTCACAATTTTTTTTTTATACACCCACTGCCCAAGCCACAGTCTATAATTTTACTCCATTTATTAACACTAATTTCTGGCCCCACCTCTAAGTGAGATATAAATAAGATTTATAAATAGGATATTATAAAGATGGGACACTGGAATTTCATACTTGGAGCACATGCAAAGTAACATTTTTCCAAATATTTACAAGCAGATTTGGAACAAGTGAAAATCACTTTACCAAGCTGGACTTCTGACCTCAGTTCCATGACTAGTCTCTGCCTACCCTTATTCCCCACCCATTCCCTTCTGCGCTTCCTCTGCCAGGAATACCTTCTTGACTCATCTCTGCCTGTCGATGTCCATTACTTCCTTAGAAACCTGGCTCAAGATTCAGCTCCTTGAAAAAGGCCTCCCTGACTAATCCTGATTTCCACTACTTCCTAACTTTGCATTCCCTTGGCATTTATATATAGTTTGCATTACATAATCAGTAACTTAAAGATGTTTTGCATTTTTCCATCATGTCCCCAGCTAGAGACCAAATAGAGGAACATTATCTCTTATATCTTCTACTACACAGCCTGTAATAAATGCTTCCTTCTTGAATGACTGAATCACCACTGAGAGAAAGGCAAAGGCTCACAAATTTCTGAAGTAATCAAGTGGCTTTTCAGATCACCTTGACAATACTCTACCACCTCCAACACACATGAACACTTCACGGAAATGAGATTTACTTTTGCCGTCCATAAATTCCACAAAAAAGATCCAGGTTACAGATCCCGTACATACTTAAAGCAAATCATAATAGCGGCTATTCAAACGTATCTTGAGATTTAACATTTCAGGCTTCATTTAAAGCCTTGAAGCAGCACGCCTGTGAATGATAGGAAGCTGGCACCAGTCTGTTGCAAAAGGGCAAAACTCTAGTTGGCAGTAAATGTTCAAACACGTGAGCCTCCACTGTTAAACAAGGCTCATTAGCCACACAAACTTGATGTTTCAGCTTTCTGGCTTCGATGAAGTGCTATGATCTCTTTTGGTTATTGTCGAGAGCCAACGATGAATTAAATTCCCATAAATTAACCAATAGTTTTGATGGTTTGCCCAAACATACCACTGGCATGGGGGTGGGGTGGGATGTGTGTGTGTATGTTTTAAACAAACAGACCCTCTCTCGCCCCGGGGAGTCAGATCTGAGTGAAGAAAGCGCCAACCCGGCACTTCTCAGGAGGCGAAGCGAGACCTCCAGGACTCGAGCCCTTCAGTATCCCCCTAGTCAGCTTATCTTGCAGAGGCGGGGCTTCAAGCGCTGCTGCTTTTCACTAAATCTCAACCAGAGTCTTCCTTAAGGACTGAAAGCCAACTTTTCCTTCAAGAAGCATCAGTTTTTTTCCATACTCAAAGCCCCAGTAGGCAGGGTCCAAGGAAGAGCCGGGCCACCCGCGCGGGGAAGCTGAGGACGCGGGGCGGGGAGGTATTGGGGGGACACGGACTCTCTCCGCAAAGAAGGCAGGATGGCAGAAACAAAGTGAGCGCCCGCCAGCCCAGCGCCGCCCGCCACCCGCCGGCCCCGCTCACCCTCCAGCAGCACCTCCTTGCCCGCGCGCTTCAGCGCCTGCACGGCCTGGTCGTGGGTGGCCTGGCGCAGGTCGGTGCCGTTCACCGACAGGATGGCGTCGCCCAGCCGCAGCGCCCGGCTCTGGTCGGCCGCCAGCCCCGGGAAGATCTTGGAGATGAGGATCGGCATCCGGTTCTCGCGGCCGCCCTTGATGCTGATGCCCAGGCCGCCCGCCTCTTGCTTCACTACGCGCACCCGGCGCACCGGCGGCGACGCGCCCGCCTCGCCCGCCGGGCCCCGCGGCGGCGCGGGAGGGCTCGGGGGACCCAGGCCGCGGCTGGGGCTCCCCGGTAGCGAGTCGCCGGCGCCGCCGCCGTTCGGGAGGCCGTTGAAGGCAGCCGCCGCCGGCCCCAGAGCCTGCTCGGACTCAGCCGCCGCAGCGTCGCCGGTGAGGCTTAGGCTCTCCCCACTGAGCTCGGCCACCACCCGGACCCAGCGCTCCCTCAGGAGCAGCTCCACCAGCCCCGCTTTGGTGGCCCGCGTCCACACCGCCATGGCCGGCCCCACTCCCGCCGCCGCAGTCGCCGCAGCTACCCTCATTCCAGTCAGGCAGCCTCCGCGCTTCCCCCTTCCCGCCCGAGGGGGCGGGTCCGGCCCCTCCCCCTTCGCGGTCTTTCATTATTCATGAGAGGCCACGCCCATCACCCGGAGGGGCGGGGAGTGGCAGAAGGACCGGCTTCCGGGAGGTTAAGTTGCTGCGCTTAGTTAGGTCAGTCCCTTGATGCACGCTGGACGTGGCCTCCCTGGTGAGAAGAGGCTCCTTCTCACGTTCTCCTTCCGTTGGTCTCCGATGGCCACCTCCGAAGAGTTCTGACCCTTGCCATGCAGTTCGAGCAAAATCAGCCTCAAGAAGCACTTTGCAAGCCTGCAAGACGTGGTTGCACGTTCACTCTTGCATTGATTGGTTCATTATGTATTTACTGAGTGCTCAAGCCAGAGCTCCTTTTGATGCCTGGAGATGAGCTGAACAAACCGTACCACAGTTAAGAGCTGGCGGTCTAGTGGGGGAGGAGGACGGAGAACCAACCAACCTGAGGTGATACTATGCGGTTAAGTGACATGTAGAAAACGCCCTCAGAGCAGAGTAAATGAAACCTTTGGTTGGGCCTGGGGTCAGCTTCCCAGAGGTGACAGTGAAAGGTGAGTAGGTGGAGCAGAGAGAATTACGTAAGCAGAGGTCCAGAGACATGAATGCATGCATTTGTAATCACCTGCTTACTTGCCTGTAGAGAGAGAGGACCATTGCTTCTTCAGCCCGGCAGCCACAATAGGTAGGCCTCAAAGACATTTACAGAATGACGGTTACTTAGGCAGATGTCAGAATTCCAGTGTGAACAGAGCATAGGGGCAGTGGAGGCGGCAGGAAAGGAGTGTGTAAAGCCTCATATCATCAAATATGGGAGAGTTTGGAGTTGGATTTGTAGATCTGTCTTATGCTGGAGGTCATGGCCAGTTGTTGGGGCAAATATTGCTGGGTATCCCCAGAAACTGTATGCACACAGCAGAACCTGCAGTGGCTTTTATCCAAAGACATGAGTGTTGCAATGCACCCACTTCCAGGTTCATGGGCTGGGAGAGCTAAGGAAACTGAGGCCCAGAGTGCCAACGACTCCGGCGCAAAGTTCATTGTGAGGAGAAAAAAACAGGTCTCCCAGCCTCCTGGTCCAGGGCTTTACTACATACCTCAGACCTCAAAAATGAGGGTCCAGAAATCACACTGCTGACAGAGATCTCAGCAAAAACACGAGGTCAAGGTGCCCTCTAACTTTCCTTCAGCAGTAAAAGTGAAATCCCCATGTTTTCACTTGTGCCAGTGGGGCCGCAGAGGGAATGAATGTGCACCGATTCCCATAAAAGGGTCGGTATACCTGCTTGCTCATGAAGTACATGTTGAAGCTCGCGAGCTATGGCCATGCACTTCTCTCTAAATGCACATTCATGTATGGGCAGGAACACTCAAAGAGCCTCCTATACTAGGAGTTGAAACAATAAAAATGGAGACTGGAAAGTATCCAGAGCTCAAATGAAGAAAGAATTCAAAATGAGAAAAATTCTTACAAAAAAATCATTACAGCAGAATCCTTCTTTGCAATTAGGGGAGCAGGATTTTCCAAGCTGCAAATGTCAGCAGAAGCTCAACCCTCCAATTCTCCCCCAAATCAATTGCAATGAGGCCAGCTCCCCGTTCCAGCAGGTCCCAATGTGCCCAAGTGCTTCTACAGTCACAGACGTTTCTGGCTTTGCTCCAGCTGAGGCGTGAGCCCCCAGAGGCCTGAGCTATGTGAAATTTCTGCTTATTAGAGAGCACTTGGCAGCCAATTCCTTAGAGTAGAAGCACTATTTTGAACAGTTTTATGTCCATAATCATCGAGGTTGGGCACCTGACAACACCTTTATTAGCAAAAGGGAAGTGCTGGAAATTCTTTCCAGAAGTATCAAGACGTTTTTGATCAAGAGAGTTGGAGGAAGTCATAGATCTTCCAACTAAATAGCAAGGACACTTAGGTAAGATAACAAGTTATGTGACAAAATATTTAACTCTAGGAGAGAAGGTAATGGAGGTTGCTATTTGGGTTACTTGGGGGTTTTTACTTAAAAGATTATTTTTAAATATATCCATGAAAAATTCCCAATTTATTGAGGTTTTTTTTTTTTTAAGATTTTATTTATTTATTTGACAGACAGAGACCACAAGTAGGCAGAGAGGCAGGCAGGGAGAGGAAGGGAAACAGGTTCCCTGCCGAGCAGAGAGCCAGATGCGGGGCTTGATCCCAGGAATCTGGGATCATGACCTGAGCTGAAGGCAGAGGCTTTAACCCACTGAGCCACCCAGGTGCCCCTATTGAGCTGTTTTTATGAGATCCTCCATCAGAATCTAATTTTCAGTGTTCTCTCTCATTACTATGTTTTGATCAGTCACACTCATCCGGTCCAGTGTCTCCCCGATGCCTTGCATGTTCCCTACTGAGGCCATCCTTCCAAACACCTCCTGCCCATCTCAACCACTTTCTCACATAGCAAGATTTCATCCCAGGTTTCCCTATCTACCCAATTTGCTGGGATTTTTCTTTTGAACGATTTTATTCTATGCCTGCCTGTTTTGCCCAAGTAAGTAATAAAATACAGGCGGGCAGGGACCACCCATTGGCGTCTCTTCATCCCCCACTATTCCAGAAATACTGACTTTAATGAGAAGGAACTCATTAAACATGTGATTGAAATTCAGTGCCTCCTGTGCTGTAGTCATTTCAAATAATCCCTCTGAAGGTTACTGGTTCCTTGCAGAGTGAAAATTACCATCTAGGAAATCTCAAGTAGTCAGTGGAAATCTACTTACTATAGATAATGAAATCTGAAATAAAAAGAGTACACATCTGTTTCCACAGTTTCTTTCTTTTTTTTTTTTTTTTTAAGATTTTGTTTATTTGACAGAGAGAGATCACAAGCAGGCAGAGAGGCAGATAGAGAGAGAGGAGGAAGCAGGCTCCCCGCCGAGCAGAGAGCCTGATGCGGGGCTCGATCCCAGGACCCTGAGATCATGACCTGAGCCGAAGGCAGCGGCTTAACCCACTGAGCCACCCAGGCGCCCCTGTTTCCACAGTTTCTTAGGGACAGAGAGACAAGCTCAGATAATTCTCTGAACAGGCCTGTTATTTTATCTACCTATAAAAAAGGCAATGGCCGAGATAATTCCTAACAACCTTTCATTCCTCTCACCTATCGGTATGTATTCTTTGCTCAAGCTATTCTCTTACTGTTTCTCAGAACAATGCAGGGATTGTTGCTACTTTATTTTTTATTATTATTATTTTTTTTTAAGATTTATTCATTTGAGAGAGCATACGCACATGGAGTTGGGTCAGGGCGGGGGGCAGAGGGGAGAGAATCTTTAGCAGACTCCCCTCCAAGATCCGAGCACAATGCAGGGCTCTATCTCACCATCCTGAGATCCTGATCTGAGTTGAAAGGAAGAGTCGGACGCCCAAATGACTGAGCCATCCAGGTGCCCCTGTTTCATTACTCCTTTAAAATGAGGGGAGTGGGGCGCCTGGGTGGCTCAGTTGGTTAAGCGACTGCCTTCAGCTCAGGTCATGATCCTGGAGTCCCGGGATCGAGTCCCGCATCGGGCTCCCAGCTCCACGGGGAGTCTGCTTCTCCCTCTGACCTTCTCCTCGCTCATGCTCTCTCTCACTGTCTCTCTCTCTCTCAAATAAATAAATAAAATGTTTAAAATGAGGGGAGTGGATTAGCTCTTTCAATTCTGTAATTTCCTACAATTCTATCACTTAGGCTCTGATTCTATGCTCTCTCAAAACCCAACGGTCTTTTTCTTCCCTTTCTCCCTCATAGTAGCAGTATATATCACAAGGTAATTAAGAGCATAGGACTCAAACTACAGTCTGGCTACTGACTGTACTATATGGCAACCCACAAGGGGCTGAGGTCACGAGCCTCAGTTTTTTTGTTTTTTTTTTTTTGAGATTATATTTACTTGACAGATCACAAGCAAGCAGAGAGGGAGGCCGAGACGGGGGTGAGGGGTGGTGGGAAGCAAGCTCCTTGCAGAGAGCCAGACGTGGGGCTCGATCCCAGGACCCTGGAATCACGACCCGAGCTGAAGGCAGAGGCTTTAACCCACTAAGCCACCCAGGAGCCCCGAGCCTCAGTTTCTTATTCGGAAAAATTCAGATACCTTCTACTCTAAGGATGGTTGTGAGGGTTGACCAGGAGGTCGCATGTGAAGTGTTTCAAACAGCAGCATCGTACCTGCCACCCTGAAAGACTTGCATAAAACGTACCTGCTGCTGTTATTACTTGTTGAGGTGCAGTAGCAGCAACACTAAAACCTCTGGTAGGACTCTACACTTTAAAGTCTATGCTTTATCTAAAAATGAGTTTGCCATAATTAGCTTTTGATTCCAGGCTTAAAAGGCAAATGACCAAATTAATTTCGGTGACAAACAGGTCTCGTATAAAGCTACATTTCGGCTGAAAGGGAGTACGCATTGCCAAGAGTCCGTCAAAGGAAAGAATTAGTGGATCTGGGGTTGTTCCAAGGTTTGAGTGTTGTGTAATTTCATAAGGAAGGAGGGCCCCCGGCAAAATTGCAGCCCTTAGCAAGCCTGAAGGTCACCACCACAAAGGCGGCCTAATGCCAGAGAACAAAAACAAGAGCTGCTCAATTACTACTAAAGAAGAGACCAAAGGAAGAACCAAGCGTGTAAGATAACCAATCCAACATCCAACTTTGAAAATTTATCCATGCATGACTCTTCCCCAGTTAGAAGACAGTGAGATCAACTGTCCCTTTCAAAGGGCAGTATTCCTTTGCCTTCCAGGAGAAAGACCTTTAAAATGTATCTTTCCAGCACAAACATGAAGTGAAAGAGGGAAAGGTGAATACACCCTTTAGCTGATGCAAGCACATCTGAAAATACATCCCGCCAAGATAAATCACTATTTATCTGAAACCCACAAAAATGGATTAACTATTTCATGCGTTAGGACTACGAAAAGCCACATCTGCTAACCACATTCCT